TACAGTATATGTCATTTTATATCACGGTAACGGTATGTTTCACAATACAGTAATTGTTCTATTTGGTTTAAAATAACAATACCTTCATGTCTACAGACAGAAGTCTAACTCCTTTTGGTAACACATTCATCTCCCTCTTCTTGGGTTGGTTGGGATGTATCCTGCTCTGTATTTACATTTTCATTCTCCTCCATGTTTTCTTGTTACTCTCTTCTTAATGACTGGAAACTATCTTTAATAATGACAGCACATGATGTTCAACAAGAAATATTATTTACCACCCAGTTAGTGTATTAAAATCACCCTCCAGGTTCAACAGCAGATGGTAATATTCTTCTCAGTTAAACTCTATAATTATACCACTGCTTCATCTTGTAAAGCTTAAATACATATCATCCTATTTACTTGCATTGAGTTCTGCATTTGAAAGGTTTATATACTTTTGTGTTCAAATAGCACTTCATTGACTCATCAAGTGAGTGAGTAGTTGGTTTCAGAAGCACGTTGCTCAAATATTTGTTTTGAAATGACACTGACACTAAAAAGTGCACCTACAGTAGCAGCCTGGAATATTGTGTAGCATATTGATGTTAGCATTTAGCTTAAAGCCACTGAAGCCTCTGCTGGTGTGTGCATAAAATACAGTCTGGAGCTTTTGCATGAAAGACCCATCCTGGTGATCAGTCACTTTGTGTTAGCCAAGCATGGGTTAAAGGGCAAATACTAAAGTTGCAGACATGGGACATTAAGAGTCTGCATTGTCTGCCCATATGGTGAATTTGCTCTCCTTTCAGACATGGACAGATTCCTACGCTGTCCCAACCAGTTACCACTAATTTATCATAATCCAAGGCAAAATATGACTAAACCACTGAATCAACATTACAACCTTCCCACATGTGTGTCTTCTTGGGATGATACATAGTCCAACAAATGCTAAAAGTCCAGTCCATGATCCAGGTACAGCACCCATTACTACATCATGGTTTAAATCTTATTAGATCAAATTTGTCAAAATTTAATCATTCCCTACTCAATTTGTGTACTTTGAGGAAGATAATGCAAAAGACTTATTAGATGATTAGACACAATAAAACATTCAAATAAGACTTAGTATCATGTTAGTTGAATGTTGAATAGTGAGTCGCACAATCAAACTTCATCTCCCACCTGAAAGGTTCAGTGTGTACGTTTTAGTGGCATCTAGTGGTGAGGGTTGTGAATTGCAACCAATGGTTGACGGTGCATTCATGTGCTCCTCGGATGGTCCCATTTCCTGGCTTTTGAAGTGGTTCTACTGACTTCAGTGTGTTTGTGTTCTCTTAAGTCAAAATACGCAATCAACATGGACTCTACTACAAAGATGTGTTGGATTAGCAATATCAGAGCATATAAACAACACGCAGTCATATTAGAACTTACATGTTTGCAAAATATGTACTGTATATGCAATACGTGATTTTGCAAAAATCAAAGTTCTGTATACTTCTTTATGTCCCATGTACACTTTATTTCTGTTTTTGCAATAAAGATTTAAGAAGGAAAAGATTCTGATTATTCCGACACCACATGAATGCACCACTCACCCCTCCCCTTTCCAAGTGCGTAGGAGAAGCTACCGTGGCCGACATGATCTGTTGGCTCTTTCGCTAAATAATACGTGTTGGCCTCAAATTTCTCTTCTTTCTTGCTTCTAATAAACCAGTCGACTACTACTACTACTGATGTTACTTGTTCTTCTTCTTCTTACATATTCAATGTAGTGGCAAAACGCGCTCTGTAGTGTAAGTTTGTCCATTTGGGCTACTGTAGAACCATGGCAGCACAACATGGCAACTGTGAAAGAAAATTTCTTCTCAAAGAAGAAATACAGAGTCAGAGATGTGATGAAACCAATGATGGAGGTAGAGCTTGATGGACCTGCTATGAAATAATAAAAAATTAAAATTATATAAATAAATTGACTGACTTGTGTTATTAGATGTGGAGGATCTTATAATTCAAGACAATCTGCCAGAGTTTGATGCTGACTCCTTTTAAAAAGTGACTATAGATAAGATGTCTTTTCAACACTGGTAGCTTTGGAGGAGGCTCCATGATGTTTCTCAACAATTACACACTCCCTATCTGACAGATTTGATATATAATGAAAGAACAGGTCATCTCTATAGGTTTAATTAGGTGAAATGACCTGTTGAAACCTGACCTATCTGGTTTTGTTCTGTTAAATGCTTTATAACTTTAGATTTGAACAGCTCAGCTCCAGAGAGAAATATGTGTAGTGTTTTGAATGTGGTTTTACTGTAAAACTGCAAGCTGAGTGTAAAGCAGGAAATGTGCTTATATTTTAGCCGAATTGGTTCAAAGGGTCGGTGCATCACAATTACAGGCTGTGGTCATTGTGTCTCAGGTACCAGTTCTACTGTGTAAACAACTGAGAAAAAACGATTATAGACATTATTTCAGTAACTTCTTTTTTTCACAAGTAAATTACTGAATGCATTTCTGATTCATTATTGTTACATATACTATAGTACAGTCAATAAAGTGAAAATTTGGTGGTCACTTTGGTACATTTCTAGAAACATCCTTAGCATTTGCAAAACTATTTGTATTGTTAAACTATGGCTAATGTTTGGATGATAATGATTGGAAATGCACAAGGCTGCACTTTTTACAGTAGATAGTTAGAGTTACAGTAAACACTGCAAGAGATTGGACAGGATTCACAGTTATGCTATTTCTGTATGCACTGTAATTTTTTGACACAGCATGTCATTGTGATTAAGAAAATAAAAAAAACAAGACTATTTTACAGCACTGCATAGCATACAGTTTTTTTCAATTGCTAACAAGCGTTTACCTAAACTTAAGACACTTTATCAAAACTCTTAACACAGCAACACACCTACCTCACACAATTAGCCAAATAGCTCAAAACCACATTTTGTTCTTTAAACACAACTTTCTAAATACAAAGAGTTAATGGCATTACTGAAACTGCATTACTTTTCATGTTTCAGCTCTACCTGCATACAGTAAAATGTGTGAAATCCATTGATTTTTGTAATTCAGTTTCCTTTTACTGTTAACCACCCTATATTTTTGGCTCGAGGGGCAAATGTGTGCATTTTTTCCAACAAACTATGTAAAAGTGAATGAGTCATCTTTACTTTATAAAATGTAGAGTGGGAAAAAAATGTAAGTGACAGAATTAGATAAGTAAAAGCTTTACAGTGATCAACAAATAATCCAACCTATGTGGCTTTTGGTTCAAACTGTGTAAAAATACTGTCAAATACGTTTACGTTACTTCTTGGCCACTATGCTCCTCCAACAACCGCCGCCTGGCTCTGCCATCCCTGAGCACAAAGCAATCTCAGTCCCGTCTGTTCTCATCTGTGACACCACGATGGTGAAACAAACTACCACATGCCATCAGAGCAGGGGCGTCCCTCTCTAACTTCAAGAAGCCCATGAAAACTAATCTCTTTCGAGAATGCTTCCACTTTATAACACCTCTAACCCCTCACCTCTGCACTTCCTGTGCTCTTCTTCTATCTCCTTACAGTTCTCTTGTTTTGATTGCACTATTCGTTAACTCTTACTTCTTTCTCTAGGTATTTACCTTACTGATGCTGGGCATGCTAATATCTCTTACTAGTGTTTATTGTCACTTGTAGATCTCTTACTGTACTACTGCTTGTGTTTTGTTCCTCAAATGTAAGTCGCTTTGGATAAAACTGGCTGCCAAATAAGGAAATGTAAATGTAAATACATAATTACAAAAAAATGCACAGAAGGGAAAGTCCTGTTCTAATCCATATTATCTTCATGTTCTCATCCACATCACATCTAATGTCATCTCTCGCTATGCACCTGGATAGAACCACTTTCCCTGGTTCAGCTGCTCCTCCCCCTGGCCCAAGTATTCTACTCTCTTGTTTAGACATTATTCTTTCTTTCTCTCCTCCTCTGTGTTGTTCTGTATCCACATTTGATAAACTCAACTCCAGCAAGTCCCCTGTTTACTGGATTGTGTATGAAATTGACCCTTTGCTAAGCCACTCCCCGAATACACAGCTGGCCAATCACAGCACAGTATAGAACTCGCTCTAACTGAGATCCGACACTTTTGACACAGATTGGACAAAGGGATGTTAGGGATGTCATTGAAACGATTACAAAATAAGAAATTGAAACATAGAAATACCCCCTCAGGTTGACGTTCCTCATCAATTTACTGTAGGACACATTTAGAAAAATAAAAGTCTAATAGACATGTAGAAATGCACATTATGACGTGTTCAACCATTTTGCATGTAGTGATTTACGCAATGAACTTATGACTAGATGTTTTGGGGGATAAGACTATTCAACAGAGAACCAGTATTCTGTAATACATTGTGATCAACATGACATACAGAAAGCAATTGGTAATGTAGGAAACTGCAGACAAATGTGTCAAAGCATGTGCAATTTGCAGTTTCTCAAAAGACAGAAATTGCTTTTACATATAATGTGCACAAGCGACTAGATGATGAGGTGGAGGTTGAACAAGTAGAATTTCAATTCTGATCTGAGAAATGTACCAAAGTGACTGAGAACAACTGTATTCTATAATGAAATGCTGATTTATATAAAAAATCAGTCACATTTCAAAGATAAAAGTTCAATAAATGTACATAATGCTTCCTGTTGATAGTGTTTTGTAGGTCAGTGTGTTATGAGTGACAAAGGATGCTTTCTGAGGGAGAATTGGTGCCAGTGTTTTGGCTGAACAAGTTTATTTTGAGGCTTCTATGAAGTGTTTTGGTGGTTTGAGTGACTTTTGGTGGTGAGATTAACTGTTTGGCCAGGATGCATGTTGGTGATGCAGACTGTGTGAAGAGTTTTGAAAAAGTGGCTTCAGTTTTGACCATTGCATCTTAGCAATTGAAAAAAAACTGTAATCTCTCTTGGTTCCATTCTCTCTGTCTATCTCCATCTCCCTATGGCAGATTTTGATGCTCAGTACTCACTAACCCGTGCTCAGCGTGTCAGGGCCGCCATGTTTCCAGAGACCCTGGTGGAGGGGGAGGCGGCCATGCCCGTCCAATCAGATCCTACACAGCAGAGCAATGTGCAACGACTGGCTGAACCCTCGCAGCTGCTAAAGACAGCTATTGTCCACCTGATAAACTATCAGGACGATGCTGAACTGGCCACAAGGGCGGTGCCAGAGCTCACCAAGCTACTGGCGGACGACGATCCGGTATGTTGCTGTCAGACTAAATTCCTAAGAATTTGCTGATTGAGCTTTCAGACACACGTGTTCTATTTTACACAGTTATTTTCTCTATTCTCTAGGTTGTGGTGAACAAGGCAGCCATGATAGTCAACCAGCTGACCCGTAAGGAGGCAAGTCGGCGTGTTCTGGTGCAGTCTCCAGCCATGGTGGGTGCCGTGGTGCGTGCCATGACAACGGCAGTTGACATGGAGACAGCTCGTTACACTGCTAGCGTGCTCCACAGCCTGTCGCATCAGAGAGAGGGACTGCTGGCCATTTTTAAGTCTGGAGGGATACCAGCACTAGTCCGCATGCTAAGGTAGAAATTCCTTAATTAGATTACAATAAATTTCTTTCTTTTTTTTTACTCTGTCCTGCCCAGCAGACCGGTATGCAGTATGAGGAGCTGGTTGGAAAGATTTTGCTTTACCAAAGGAGTTTTAATTTAATTCTTTGTTTTTGAATTATTCATTTAATTACACATGTGTATTTGTCATCAGGCCGGACTGGGGGGCGGAAATGGTACTGGGGTGCACAAACATCACACAGACAACACCACAGAGGCTGTGGCTCAGGAGGTAGAGCGGGTTGCCTGTTAATTGGAAGGTCGGCGGTTCCCCCGACGGTTCGGAATCCCCGGCTCCCCCTGTTGCCTGTCGAAGTGTCCTTGGGCAAGATACTGAACCCCGAAACCCACTGTTCCGCCAGTGTATGAATGTGTGTGAATTTGAGGGAGGAGTTTGAGCACTTAGGCTCAGTGTATGAATGTGTATGACTGGTGAATGCAGATATAGTGTAAAAGCGCTTTGAGTGGTCGAAAAGACTAGAAAGGCGCTATACAAATATGGAGATTTTACATAACAGCACGTTATGTCACGTAGATGTCCTATGATGAATGAGAAGAGGAAACTAGCAAGTGTTACCATGCTCGCACAGTGTGTGGGTGAAAATAAGTTTAGTTGGTTAGTACCACACTGATATTACAGTAATAATCATAATTTTTTATCTGTTAATTTAAAAAATAAACCCATAATAGTTGAGTGTATTTACACTAAAAACGTTGTCAGTAAACTCTAAGGGCAAAAACATCAACATCAGCGCGCAAGTGACGACCCCAACCCACACACTGCACGAGCACATTGACACCCACCGCCCAGCAGCTCCCCGCGAGGCCGAGCAAATGACAGAAAGCAAGCAGCAGAACACAACGTCAAAAGCCAGCAGAGAAAAACACCAGCAGCAAGTCCCAGCCCGGCGGCCGCCTTGCAGATTCTGCCGGTGTGGCTGTAAATTTGCCACGGGCTTTGAACGCTGCACAAATGTGTTAATCATCACTTCTTGTGTCCCCTTTGTGGCGCTACATTCAAACTAGACTATAACTAAACACGTAGATGTGTTCGGGGCGGGACAGTTATCGAGCACGTCAAGTTTGGTGCAGATGTGAGCATGTACACTGAAGTTAAAACAACTTCCTCTTTCATGGTGAATCATCGATTTTGGACGCCACAGTCACGCCATTCCACGAAAACCCACCGTTTGATAAACTTTTAATCATTAAGGGGCTTTAGAGTAGACAAGGAAAATCTGAAGTCGCTCAGACTAATTCTCTAGGAGGAGTTTGTAAAAGTACGGAGCCAGTGAATGATCCAAAACTGACCATAAAAATCAAAATGGCCGACTTCCTGTCGGGTTCCTGTTGTAGGTGAAACGTGCCACAGGGGCTGCTTCGTTAAAGGTCATTTCCTGTTGCCAGCAGGTGGCGCTGTGACTTTGAGTGAATATTTGCATATGGATGCGTTCAGGGCGGGACTTTTATAGTACATTCCAAATTTGGTACAGATGTGAGCATGCAGACTGAAGTTACAACAACTTCCTGTTTTCTGACGAATTGTTGATTTTGGATGCCACGCCATGGCCACGCCGTTCCGCGAAAGCTCACCGTTTGTACAAGTTTTAATCATCAATGGATTTAGGAGGAGTTTGTTAAAGTAAGGAGTGTGTAAATCATCAATCATTTCGGCATGTACATGTGTTCAGGGCGGGACTCTTAATAAACGTGTAAAATTTGGTAGAGATCTGAACGTACAGTCGGATTTAGAGCGAAAATTTGAAGTTGATCGGACTAAATCGGACTAAATCCATCCAGGAGTACAAAGTGTAAATCGCCAAAAATGACCATTAAATCCAAAATGGCTGACTTCCTGTTGGGTGTCGGGCATCACACCAAGAGGCTTTTTTTGTGCTTCTGGACATGATACACGTACCACAGAAATTTCGTATTCGTAGGTGGGAAACTGCTTTGTAAAGAAAACACACCAAACAGCTGTTGTTTGTTATTATAAAGATACCAATTATAAAGCCAAAGAATCTGGGTGAAAGAATGGATTAGCACAGGCAGGTAGCAGGGATTGTCTGAGCTACAGAGAGAGCTGGAGGGGAGTAAACAGTGTTTTGCAGTGAAAAGTAGCTTCCTGCTCTGCCATCTGAGTGCTCTCATTGGCTGGATGTGGATGTCGAATCGGCCGACTCCTCCAGATATTTGGCGTGCTAGATATCTGGCTGGCGTTGGCGATGTGTCAGTGATGTGTCAGTGATGTGTCAGTGATGTGTGAGGGAGCCGTTTTGATGTGTCGTTCAGTAGTTCAAACATAATGACCTGTGACTTCATCACTACGAGTGAGTGTTTACAGGTTTTTTTAATAAGCATAATAACACACTGTGGGTACGGTATAGTTTAACACAGTTTAGCAGAGCTTAAAGCGGGACGAAATTTAGTCATGCCAGGTGATGAACTATTAAAAGCTTTTGACCTCCAATATGGCAACCAGAGACCAACTGAAAACTGTAGCAGATGAGGCTAACAGGCTAGCCTTCAATTTTTGTACAAAATCCGGGCCTTTCCAATCCCCAGGCAGGCCTGCAAAGTTAATCCCTTGCACTGAGGCTTAACAGAGGAGGATAATTCACACTCATAATTGATTCCGGAGCTTAATTTTCAAAGAAAATCAAAGAAAATTGAATAGAATTGAAATTGAAAACTAAACAAGCTTTTCAGAGACCAGCCAGTTGGAGCTTCTTTCGTGTGTGTGTGTGTGTGTACTACTGGGTGGTAATCTGGTTAGATACAGGAAATAGCCATTAAGATCAAAAACCCCTCTTACACTGTTTTCATTAAAGTCCATGTACAATTTATAATAATAACAGATTTAAACTGTATGTCTGCTCTTCTCTTTCAAAGGTTATTTTTTCTATCTTCCCCCTTATTCTGTTAACTGTCTTTGAAACTATATCTATATTTCTGATGCTTTGTTTTTTTAAATTCTCTCTTTTCTATATAATTTGTATTATTTATGTACACATGCTGTAAGCTAGCAGTATACAAACTAAATTTAATTTATCACTATGTCACTTTGTCAAAAAGTAATGTTTGAAACCAAAACAAAAGTCCAAATGTAATCCTGAATTTTACACAACACAACAAACTTGGTATCACCTTTCAAATCATGTAACTTCAATTTCTATGGAGCTTAGACAGTGACTTTAAAATATGAAAATCTGGAAATGAAAAAGAAAACATTGGCTTTGAAACATCTGTATTGGAAAACCAAATCCTCAATAGTGTCTGCCCCCCGACAAATGTAAACAAAATTGGATCTGTAATAGTACAAATGGTCGAATTAAATGTGGACTCATAAACATCTTACCAAGCATTTGGGGATGTACTCCCCGGCACGGCTCTCTGCTGTTCTCCCTCAGGGCAGGGTGCAGCTCTCCCCGGGACATGTGGTCTGGGGTCCTTTGCGCTTTGGAGAGTCGCGGGGTGCCCTGGCTATCAGAGGGCTGCGATGGGATTGTGGGGCAATTGTCAGTGCATCTTGATGCATTGTTTTTTTTCGGTGCAGGGTCTCTGGGGGGCTGCTGGCCGTTAGTTTGTGCATTGGAGTCCGGGGAAGGCATTTCCTGGTTAGCTTGGGGGGACTATTTTGCATCCCTAGTTTGCCTCCTTGACCTCAGATCCGTGCTTCCCTGTTTCTCCGTCAGCCAGTTGTTGGACTCCTCTGTAGACTGAGGTAGTTAGTTGTCCAGATGTGCAGGGTGTGTGTGGGGTGGAGCTGTGCTATGGGTTTGTTCTGGGCGTGCCGGTCACGGGGTGGCACTGACCTCTGTTGTGTGTGCGCGCCATGGTCGGTACGGGTGCTGCTATTCTGCGGGTTCCGCCTTTTGCTTTCCGATGGCATTGCGTTTTTAATTGCCATTTCAATGTCTTTGGCGTTTGCTGGTCGGGTCGGGGTCTTCTGCGTTCGCGGCGCAATTCGTCTAGGAGTTGACTTCTTTCCCACCCCTATTGACTACTGGGGGTCTTGCCTGCCTGTCACTGGAGTCGGTGTGGTGCGGTTGTGGCATCCCACTCTCACTATGAACTACATTCTGTAACAGGCTTATGTACACATATACATATACACATACAGACACACTCACCCACACGCACTCAGACACATACAGTCTAGATACATATAGACACACACACAAACAAAGGTTCTCCCTGGTAGAATTGATGTTTTTCATTCAGTTACTTATTTAAATGAATTGTTATTTTATCATTTTTCACAGTGGTGCTGTGTTGTTTATTTATGTTGACTGATTTTCGTTTTCATTTCTCTCATGTCAGCTGTTTATTACTGCTGTTCGGCTGGTTGTCTCTTGGTTGCTTTCTGTAATTGGTGTTTCCTTCTGCTATTTCCTGTTGTCCCCACCCACATCCCCATTCTCTTACAGGTGTTGCCGTCTCTCTGTGCTGTCTGTTTATGTGGTGTTTCTATTCCCCATCCCCATGTCTGTCTGGCCCGGTGACAAATAAATTTGAATAAATCACAATACAGACAAAGGAGTATATTAATACTCTCTTGTTAGAGTAACATCTGGCTGGCAAATAAGTTGAATCATCTCCCTATTAAGAAAAACGCTGTGCACATTTACACACGAGGTTCAGCAGCATTACGTCGCTGATTATTTGAAGCTCCCGACACTCTGAACTGACAGCAGCCTCTGTAATCATGAAAGTAATTTGTTAAAGCACAAATACATAGAAAGAACAAGCCTATAGAAATCTATTTACACATGATCCATCAGGGGAGCTACCGTCTTGTTAAGAGGAGCCGAGCTCCCCCGTAGTTTGCACCCTGCCTACAATAGAGCGTATGCGCATGACGTCACAGAACGCAGTTATGCTCACTGAGTGGCAGAAAGACGAGCAGCAGTGTTAGCTTGAACGAGCTGGACTCTGGTTCTTTGTTAAGCAGTAAGGATCATTGTCGAGTCCGACTGCCTTTAATTTATGCAAATAATCACTTGTTTTACTCCCGGTTTGCTAAATGCAGCCATGGTAACTGATGTTTTGCCACTCAGTCCAGCGTGTTCCAGAAGGGGAAGTGACATCAACGCATACCCTCTATTCTCGACTATTGGATTCCTGCAACAGGAAATAACGTTACTCATAGATTTGTTTTTCTGGTGCCAACATGTTTCTTGTGTTGGTGAATAATACAATTTAGAGCGCGGTTGCCCATTAATCGGAAGGTCAATCCCCAGCTCCTCCAGGCTGCATGTCGAAGTCTCCTTGGGCAAGATACTGAACCTCAAATTGCCTCTGGTGGCTGTATGAATGTGTGTGAATGTTAGTTTCTGTTTGAGCACTTAGGCTCATGGTGAATGCAGATGTAGTATAAAAGCACTTTGAGTGGTCGAAAAGACTAGAAAGGCGTTATACAAATACGGAGCATTTACGTCGACAATTAGTATTTCATTTATTTCATTATTAGATTCAGTTTATAAACCCACTCACTGTGCGACCTTGTTCTGGCATATGGCATTGAAATTGAACATTTATATTCTTTCCACACAATCCCTTTTTATCTGACCACTATTTAATAACTTTTGTATTCAGACTACATATCATTAGACACAATTTTGACTCTTTCTTACTGGTAGCTAAATTTAAGGAAGTGATTATATCTGAATTTAATTCAATACCATGTCTCAATATAACAGAGACTGCTATGCTAACTTCAGTCCTCCTAAATTGATCATCTTGGAAATAATGCTGCAGGCTCACTGCAAAGGACGCTAGACTCTATTGTCCCTCCAAAAAATAAGATAATAGAACAAAGAAGGTTTGCTTCATGATATAACCTCTTAACTCCCAAATTAAAGCAAACATCACAAAAACTTGAATGCAGTCTGGAGAAATCTCATTTGATCTGGCAAGATAGTCTTAAAACATATAGGAAGACCCTCCGAAATGCCAGAGCAGCGTGTTACTCAATCTTAACCCCTTGACGCCGATTGTCGCGAATTCGCATCATACCTCTTCCTTGCAGACTGCAAGCCAAGATAGCACATGGATTCCCCCAATGCCTGTTGGTGCATATTTGATACGAACCTAGGAACCTTTTGCAAGCCCTGTTTTCTCGTTTATGCCTGTTGTCGCTAATTTGCATCATACCTACACATACCTGAATTTATATATTTTCTATGTTCTAAAGACAAATTAACAATCTTCACTTAATTTAACCCCTTAACGCCTGAATTTCAAATCAAAAAATCAAAAAAAATATTTTTGTTTTCATTTGCTTTCAAGCTGATGTTAAATTAAGCGGGGTTAATGAGAGGGACAGGGTATTTAGGGGTTCAAGCCAGAGTGGGTCTGGGAATGAACGATGCCTTGCAATCGTGGTTCACAGATCCAGCGGAGCTGGGAACCCTATTGGAATTGTTCTCGTTTTTATTATTATTTTTATTCTTCCGTAAAGAAAACGCAAACTGCAGCCTAGACGGTAAGTGCTACAGACGCGAAACTCACAGGGTATGTCCAGGTCACCGCCATGACCGCAGAAGCAAAAATTTGCACACTTCTACCTCAAGGGGGCGCTATAACTAATCATTTGAACATTTTGCCTTGGAACTCCCGCATACAAAGGCGCATATCAAAAACCTTACATCCACGCGTTGGGGGGATCGAGCTGAATCCAATGGTATAGGCCTCACCCATTTCCGCCTAAACTTTTTTTTCGCTACATTGTGAAAACTGAAAAACCTATTTTAATTAACTCCTCCGAAGCCGCAAGTCCGATCGACACCAAACTTGGCACGGATAATCTCTGGACCAAGCTGAAATTTGGATCCAACAAAAAATGTCGCAATTATACGCTAACAAATGTTTGCCAAAAACGCTAAAAACAGCAAATGATGTCATATCTTCAGTTTGGAATGGCCGATCGACACAAAACTTGAGGACCTTATGTGGCATGCCCCCCTGAGGGGCTGTGCAAAATTTGCTACAGTTAGCCCCTAGTTGGCGCTATTCAAAAAAATCCCATTGACTTACATGTATTTTAGATCTCCACAACCACAACTCCGATTGATACCAAATTTGTGGCAGTTGTTCCCCATGGGGCCCTGATCACACCTGACAATTTTGGTGCAGTTTGGCCAAGAGGTGGCGCTAAAAGCGAAGCTCAAATCCCTCACTAAATCCCATTAATTCCTATAGCATTTTCAAAGGCAGGACGTTTTGCCTGTTTGGAATGGCCCATCAACACCAAACGTGGGGACCTTATGCGGCACGACTCGCGCGCCATCCGCGGGGCCGGGGGGAGGCTTGCGCCGGGAGGCTTGGACCCCGCTTACAACTGCTTGCAGTTCTAGTTATTCTTAATTTTATAATCTTAGTCATTTAGACCTTAGATGTCAATGCAGGGACAAAGAGTCAGGTCCTTCTTTTTTCCTTTTTTTAAAAAAATTATTTCTATACATAAATCATATTCCTTCAACTTACTTCCACTCCATATTTTTCTCTGGGTTATCTTCCATTGTGCAATAGCACAATGCGCGTTAAAATTAGTTCATCTTATGAAATGACTTTCTCTCTCTCTGTTAATCTCATTCATTCAGTTCACCGGTAGAATCAGTCTTATTTTACGCCATCACCACCCTCCACAACCTGCTGCTGCACCAAGAGGGGTCCAAGATGGCAGTGCGTCTTGCTGACGGCCTGCAGAGGATGGTTCCCTTACTGAAAAAGAGTAACCCAAAGTTCCTGGCCATCACCACTGACTGTCTGCAGCTCCTGTCCTATGGCAACCAGGAAAGCAAGGTGAAGTGAGGAACTTGACATTGGGAAAGAGATCCTTGTTGTGTCTACTTATTTATGACAGAATTATACCAGCTACTTCCTGTTTCTTCTCAGCTGATCATCCTAGCCAATGGGGGCCCAGAGGGCCTGGTGTTCATCATGAGGAACTACAACTATGAGAAGCTATTGTGGACCACCAGCCGTGTTCTCAAAGTGCTGTCTGTTTGTCCCAGCAACAAGCCAGCAATAGTAGAGACTGGTATGTCCACATCGCTGAACATGAATGTAGTTCTGTGTAAATGATGGTATAGCATGTAACTGTATTTTTACATCTGTGTCCAGGTGGTATGCAAGCTTTGGGCCAACATCTTACTGGATCCAGTCAACGTCTGATCCAGAACTGTTTGTGGACACTCCGTAATCTATCAGATGCTGCAACCAAACAGGTATGTGAATTAACCCACTACTACTGAAAGTTAGGTATACTGAATCCACTTCCAAGTACTCTCAGGAGAATGGAATGGAACAGTTTGTTTGCAACACGGCAACTATTAACACAAAACTTAGCTAAGCACTGCAAGGAACCCTGTCTCTATATACAGGCGAAAAGATCAACCTGTTCCAGAGTGGTTATAAAATAAATCTCATTTTAGCCTTCAGTCCAAAACCTCTCATAAAAGATCATCATAGCTTTTGGCAGATTAATGTCCACAAATGCCCAATTGGTTAGTATTCTCATATAGCATATCATGCTCTCTTTTGTAGGAATTATAAAATAAATCTCATTGTAAACCCGGGGTGAAACTTAACACCTGGTAAGCCAATTTGTATATGTATTGTGAGTTTAGGGAAAACTGCTATCAATGCTGGCACACTAAATATTTATGGTGTTACTTTGTAGATATTGCAATACATTTGGCAATAATAGCAATACTATTGGACTTTAAAAGCAGTGTAGATCGTTTGGCAGAGGCATATTTTGAGTTCTGATCAATAATGTTCAGGTCGCGTATGTATTTTCAAAATTATGGAAGTTTTCTAGTAGTGACCTATTTTTTACACCAAGTAATTGGCATTGCGACCAATATGGATCATCATGGATCTGGTTGTCAACAGGACAGGAGCTGGCCTGGTGGTGGTCTCATTCACCCTTTGCACCATTCTGTTAATTAAATGAAAATAATGTCAAAAAGTAAAACGTGAGAAATGTTAGCTACCCTGCAGTTTGCCTACAGAGCCAGTAGGTCTACGTAATCAGAATCAGCTTTGTTGGTCATGTTGGCACACAGTGAGTCACAACGATACCAAACCAGCCCAGGTGAGGAAATAACTCCAGGTCATCTTTTGCTGAGGTGTCGGAAAGTGCAATCTCAGAGTTAAAGTTTTTGCAGTGATCTCTCTTGACAAGGTAGCAATACAAACAGAAAATGGATATTGCTTCACAAGTTCAGTTGCTAAATAGAGACAAGAGAAAGAAAGCCATCCATGAGAACAAGAAACAGCAAACTCACTTTGATGAAGTAGACTGCTGAAGTAGGTAGGAGAGACAGTGGGAATGGGCTTTGAGGAATGGGCTCTATGGAACATAGCTTTACCCTTTTGCCCTTTGCTTATCTTCCAATTGCAGTTCTTATAAGTCCAGTTCTCTTAAACTCAAGGTGTACTTTTTTGAGATGTTGGTGGGGATACAGGCATAAGGATACAATTTTCAGTCAAGATAGCCTTAAGGTCTTCTTCAGTAGGCTCTTTAACACATTTCTCAATACTGGTAATTTCAGTCATATAGTAACTGATTTTTGTGGTGCATTCCCACAGAAAGAGGAGCGAATTTTCCGACACACAGCTGCTGCAGCTGAAATAATGGGCTAGAATTGTCATACTATACATGTCATAATAATGCATCTAAGCAAGACATTAATTTAATAAAATACACAAATATAAATGTAGTCAGGTATGATTATGGGTGGGAGTTGACAGGGTTTTTAAAGGCCAACCAACAGGTACCAGAAATTGGGGGGGGGCAGGGGTTTTGTCAATTTGTTTTACTGAGAAAAACTGAACAACATACAACAACATCTATTTTTATCCACCAGAGTGCATCAGTTATATGTTAAAATTGTAAAACGTGTCTTCACCTTCCTTTAGCCTACAGGCATGCTAATAGCTTATTTCCAGTATTTGATCGAAAATGTGAAAAAAAAGTTAAACTTGAAAGATATGAGATGGAAATAATGATTATAATGTCAGTGGCTTAACTGCAAGACTGTTTTACTGCTAACCCTTCTGTGGAGGCTACAGTATACTTAGGCCGAGCTATCATTGCTATGATTTCTTCATTTGTTCTCTCTCTCTGCCTGTCCCCACTGGTCTCTCTCTGTAGGAGGGGTTAGACGGCCTCCTGCAGATACTGGTCACCCAGCTGGGCTCAGATGACGTCAACATGTTGACCTGCGCCACTGGCATCCTGTCCAACCTCACCTGTAATAACTCACGCAACAAGGTAACCATAATGAGATATTACTCTGAATTAAAAAGTCTGTTTAAGTCATAAATTTTTACCACAGTCATCAGAAGATTTTGAGATAATAATTACCTTGTGGAGGCTACATTTCAGGAAGTTCAACAATACACAGCACACCTTTCTTTTTTGCTTTCAACATGATCAGAGAAAACACTGCACTGAGTGCCATCAAGCTTTTAAAAATCTGTTCTTGTGTCTTCTGTGCCAATTCTTTTTTGAATTTATAAAAGCCTATATGGCTCTTGGGTGTATGTGTGAGTTTGTGCTACAATATTTTGTTAATAAAAGAATCCAGTTTATATGTACAGTGTTCACCTAAGACCATCTGCACTCTGTACGCCTGAGGAAAATCAATTTACAAAAGCCATATATCATATTGATCTTGACTTTTTTCTCCTTCCTTTCAAGCCTGGACACACACACACACACACACACACACACACACACACTCACACTCAGTGTTTATTTATTATTATTATATTTCTCTCCACTTCATGTTTTAAAAATGAATTGTGAATGATGCTTCACTTCACACCTGTAATTAAGATGGTCAGTTCTACTCTATTTTCTTCAACTTGTGATCCCGTAGACTCTGGTGACTCAGTATGGCGGTGTGGAGGCGTTGATCCACGCCGTGCTTCGTGCTGGGGAGAAGGAGGATGTTGCTGAGCCGGCAGTCTGTGCCCTGCGTCATCTCACCTCCCGCCACCAGGATGCCGAGCTGGCCCAGAATGCTGTGCGGGTGCACTACGGTATCCCAGCTATCGTCAAGCTGCTGGGGCAGCCCCACTACTGGCCTGTAGTAAAGGTAAGGTGAAAGAATAGTTTGTATTGGTATACTATTATTATACTATGTAAATGTAAATGCTCTATTTGTAAAGCGCCTTTCTAGTCTTCCAAACACCCAAAGCGCTTGTACACTACAACGCATTCACCATTCACACATATTAATACACCTATGGAACAGCCATCGGAGGCAATTCGGGATTCAGTATATTGCCAAAGGACACTTCGACATGCAGCCTGAAGGAGCCGGGGATTGAACCGCCGATCTTCCTGAGCCACAGGAAGACTGGCAATGGAAACTGTAAGTCAATCATCCTCTTTGGGTTAGATAGAAAGGAAAGGAAAGGGTAGGAAGGGAAAAGAAAGGATGTTAATAGCATTGATGGTATTTATGTGATGGCAGCTAGTCTGAACGGAGGAGATGATCCGTAAGACACTACCTCAGTTTTGGCATACGCACACACACACATACATGTGTATTATATATTTATATATATATATACACACACACGTCACCCATCATGTTTCAGTCCCAAAACAATTCAGCTGTGACAACACCCACTGGCATGATGTGTCCCTGGAGAGAGAAAGAAAGAGAGAGAGACAAACAGACAGAGTTAGACACAAAGAGTTACAAAGCTGGTTGTTTTGTTGCTCAGTGAGGAAGAGAGACCGAGACTGAACAACCGATAAAGCGAGAGAGAGAGAGAGGACTGAAAGCAGCTGTGTTTCAACCCCACGTTCAATCAAGAACATAACAAAAGTGTTGAAAGAAATTAACAGCATACTGAATGTAACTATTTCTAGAGCCTCCCAATGGAGCCTTGAGTGTGCCAACTGATTAATAAGAGACTTTTACAGATTTTAATTATATTTCAGTTAAAAAACTGATTCAGATTAAATATGGCCCTTATCAGACTTAAGTGTGAACTGTCAGCTAACTGGAGTGCTAACCCTCCCGATAGACTCCTGTATTTTATTGCCCTCTCACGGCTTCCACCCGGGGTCACATTTCTCCAATTAATGACAAATGTTTACAACTTTCTGTCCTTTTAATTACATTCATTACCATTTCTGATACAATGCATATTCCCCACTCTCTGTGTGTACCATGCATGTGACTCTCAGGATAGCTTGCAATCCGGTGTATTTCAGTTGTAAGAAAAAGAATTTGTGTGCAAATGATAGCAAGGTAGAGGAGTAAGAGGGCTTTTTGTGGAGATTTTTTGTTCACCACCGCACCATCTAGCGCAGCACTGTGACAACAGTTGCTCTAGAGTGACATCAAAGTCGCATCAATTCCTATCTGAGGTTCTAGACTGAGGTTGCATTTCAAAAAATCTTACATGTATCGGATTTGGACCGATTGGCTCAGATCCGAACTGGAAAAGATCAGATTCCAGTTAGTTATCTGGTAAGCCAGGTGTAGTAACACCTCACTAACAAAGGGCCTGAGGTGGGATCGAAACACAGACCGGAATAAACTAGGAATCCTCTCAAATTTTGTAGTTACTATGCCCAGAGCCGGACCATCCTTTAAGCTCACTAAGCACATTGTGGAGGGCCCCGCAAATTAAGCAAGGCCCCACCTCACTCTAATGTCAAAGTGAGTGTCAATGTTGAGAAGTTGAGAGTCAGTTGAGAGGATGGATAGGGACTATCCTTCTGGGCACGAGAAGAGAAAAAAAATTAAATGAGCATGAATTGTGGGAATAGCAGTCAGGTAAACCTTTGTTCTGTCCTCACAAAGTCTGATGTCAGCAAATAACAGTAATGTTAAGTTAATTTGCTAGCTTGAATCCCTCTCTGTCTGGCTGTCAGCCTGTGCTTTTGAAAATGTATTATTAAAGGAAACCTGGGGGAGCCAGTTTGAATGGGCCTGATGCAGCTGATCACATTAATATCTAGCAAGTTTTGTTATCTATAATTTACAGGTGCTATGCTTAGTCAGTAGAGTAGATGCTGGATCATCTGCCATTATAAGCACAACTGATCCACATCCAGCCTCAGCCAGCGCTAGCACAGACTCAGTACAGAAGTCTTTAGCAAGTCACACAGACCCAGGTGAAGTTCAGGCAGCCTCAACCAGAATGAGCACAGTCAGAGATGCACAGCCAGCATCAGATACAAGCAGCTCAGAACCTTATGGAACAGTTGCTGCTCCACCAAGTGACCCAGCAGATTGGCCCCAAGTCTTAACTGACTTTATGAGAAATGAGTTAGAGTGCAGAGGTCCATTCAAAGTCAGTAAATAAAGGGAAGGGAAACAGCCACTGACTCAAAGTGCCCGACGTATGCATTTTGTGTCAAAAATTGCACCCCGTCTCATACAAATCCACCGCCAACTTTCAGTAGGTTACTGCTGCAAAAACATTAACAAGCTCATTAACATCAAAGACAGCTGCAGCTGTTGTCAGTCAACAGTGTCCAAAGACACATTTGGTGGACAGTTTACATTATTTGTTTGGTGTGTTTGACATGGTTTCTCTCTCTTGTGCAGACCTCTGCGTAAATCAAATGTGACCACCGTGTCAAAGAGGCTGATTGTTTTTTATGTCTGCTATCATCAGCCATATTTCACGCTGGTGGAAGAGGAAAACAAAGACATTCTCATGGCTACATTAAATGCACCAAATAATAACTTTACAACACCAGAGACTAAAAAACATCCGGGACAGCATTTTGGACATTTTTGACAGCTATGGTGGGGAGATAAACAATGCCCAAAGCCATTATTTATTTAACAAAGAAAATTCCATCTATTTTCAGAAAGAAAACATTAAAAATGTACTGCTTCTGTTCATGTGTTGTACCATATTGTGAAGAAAATACTAACAACTCTTTGTGCTTCTACTGAAGAGGATACTGGGGTTTACATGTGGAGGTAACAGCTATTTGGTGACATGCTGTTCCAAAATATGTTAGTGTAAGCACAAGACTGCTCTGCTAGTGCATGGCTTTAGCAGTTACTTGTCTCCACCTATAATTTTTCATGTTGCCTGTTTTTGTATGTGGGCACAGTTTTTCTGTAGTCTTTGCAACCACTCAAAGTGCTTTACACTACATCACATTCACCCCATTCACACACATGATGGGTTCAGTGTCTTGCCCAACGACACGTTGACACGCAGAGTGGGGGAACCGGGTATCGAACCACTGACATTCCGTTTAGTGGACAACTGCTCTGCCCCCCACAGCCAATGTACTGATTTTGACTTTAACACATAAATAGGTTTTGTCTCAAGTCACTACAGACCTTTTCTATTAAACCAAGACCATGACCTTTCCCTAACAGTAAACAAATGCTTCCAGTGCGTTAACATAACCATTAAAAAGTTGAATAATGCTGTAATCTCTATGATTGGATATTGTTTTAAAAGATCGGATATTTTTGTTAAAAAAAGATGTCAGTGAACATTTCACTTATACATCCAGTATCAACATTTTTGCAACTTGCCAGATACATTAATTAACCACATTTCATGAGTTTATGGTCTCAGTTGCTGGTTACAAGTCGTCTTCAACACAGCAGGATATTCATTTAGTAAATTATGGTCCCATTTAGAGGAAAATAGATGATAAAGCAGGGTATGCTTTAGGGTGTGGCTTCCTCATGATGGACAAGTCGCTACCACAGCGACCTGTCGACTGTGTACATTTAGAGCTATGAACTTGTTTTTTTAGATGCAACTAAGAGCTTTGACCCTTTCACAGTGTGTTTTCTCTTCATGAAAGTTAATTGCAACATTTTGGTCGCCTAAATATGTCTTGTTCAGCGTTTGCTTGTACTAAAACACACTCTAAGGAGTCTGCTGTTCATTTTTTCTGGTAAATTTGTTTTAAGCCTGTTTTTCATTAGCCAAAATTTGCATCCCAAAATACGGATGCACCTTACTAACCAAGCTATCTAGCACCACCCTCTCGTCCAAATATGTCACTTCCGGTTCCAAAAAAACAATATGGCCAAAATGCCAAATGGTAATGTTCTGTATTTGTACATGTTTTGCTATGTGTAGCGCCTTTCTAGTCTTTCCGCCCACTCAAAGAGCATCACAATACATCACATTCACCCCATTCAGACATTTTCATACACTGATGGCATAGGCTAAGGTGCCATCAGAAACAGAAATGAACACATACATACACATTCACACACCGATGGCAATGCCACCGGGAGCAATTTCGGGTTCAGTATCTTGCACAAGGACACTTTACACATGGCCTGGGGAAGCCAGATCGAACCACCGACCTTATGTTAGTGGATGACCGCTCTACCCCCACAGCCGCCTTGAGGTTTCAAATTTAGGGCTGAATGATTAATTGCATTTGCAATATTATCGCAATGTGATAAAACAAGATTTTGTAATCACAAAGGCAATTACACTCTGGTCGCATGACACCCAAGAGTAAAGCACTCTGCAGACGAAGCATCAACTTTGCACATTTTGCTGACTTGTTGCTTGACAGAAGCTGACACTACAGACAGTGTCACACAGGGAATGAAAGTTGCATCTGCCACCCGTGGGTAATTTGGTGGTGGTGGTGGAACAGAAATACACGTGTAGTAAGGTACACAAGCATATTGTGGCGACCGGCGCCTGCGTCACGCACACACAGCCACCAGTCAGTGTTATCAGTCAGGAAATATCTGTGAAATGGTGTTTCAAACCACAAGTTCAAAAGAGGCCCAGTCTATCCCGAGTTACAGCCAGTGCGTTGCTTACCAGCATCGGTGGCAGGGTGGGGAACTCTGGTGTTGTTAGAGAATTACTAAACTTTTCTATTAAGCACGAGAGGCGTCACATGGTTTTATTTTTTTTGGCCAACTTTTGAACTGAACCTGAGGATTTATTGTTTCCTTACTGGGATAGAAAAAGATGGACTCCTGGGAGATATGAACTGCGATAAGGACTCATTAATTGGTGGTTGAGCTATGAGTTTTGTATCGAGCGCTTGCTGTATAACACACTGTGGTGAACTTAGTTTTTCTTATTGTCTGTAGGCCTACCTGATGATATAATT